CCTCTCCCCCTGCTTGTGTTCCCTCTCTCACTGTGTCTCCCTGTCAAATAAATAAATAAAATCTTAAAAAAAAACCCGCAAAAAACAAGAGCTATTATTTTTCAAGCTTTTAGCCTAGTATCAGGTCAAGTGAGTGCCATACTCTACCTCATTTAATTGTCACAACTGAAACAAGTTGTGTTCAACTGTTCAAGTTCAGCCGACTTGAGGCTCTCAGTGTCAGCAAGCCCATGACATTCACATGTTGGCTAGACTCTTTCTTCTGGCCCCACCACTCCTTCTTCTTCTCCCTCCTCCTCAGGCCATGGTCCCCAGTGTTGGTATCTCCAAAGCTTTGGTCTTCCCACCCAATCCATCTTTCCTGGATGATCTTAAGCACTCCCATAGCTACAACCATAGGATAGTTACCAGATCTGACTCTAGACCAGAGCTCCCTCCTGGCTCCTGGGTTAGGATAGCCACCTGTTTTCTGGACAGCTTCTGTTGGATGTACCATCAGCTTAGACCAGCTCACCTGTGCTCATTATGCACCCTGTTGCACATTTCCTAGCTTCGTTAATGACATCAGGGTACCTTTGTCAGACACCTTGGTTGGCCTCCTCCCTTACTCTCTCTTCTCTCTGACTACACGGCCTCAGTTCAATGAATGCCCTCACCGTCTCTTGCCCTGACTCTTGTAATCTATTCCTAACTCGTATCTCTGATTCAGCCAAGTCATGCTGCACACCACTGCCCAAATGCACTATCTAAAGCTTAGGCATGAGGACGCCTGGGTGGCTCAGTTGGTTAAGCGTCTGCCTTCGGCTCAGGTCATGATCCCAGTGCCCTGGGATCTAGTCCTGCATGGGGCTCCCTCTCCTTCTGCTGCTCCCCCTGCTTGTGCTCACTCTCTCTCTCTCTCACACAAATAAATAAATAAAATCTTTAAAAAAATAAAGCTTAGGCATGACTATTTCCCTTCCCCACACTTCAGCATATCTCCATTGGCAAGAATCCAGATGGGGTGCACAATCTCTAGGGTTCCTGCTTCTTTAAAATCTCCTCTGCCATCAGTCTCCTACACAGGGCTCCAACAGGGCCAAATTTGTGTATACTTGTGCTTCCTGCCCATTCCATCCATTTGATCTCACCACACCCTTGCATGTGCCATTCCCTCTGTCTGGAATGCCTATCCCCACCTTGAGATGGTAGGTTCATATTTCTATAACGAACACCTTACACATGGTCTGCAAGGCCCTGTAGATCTGGGTTCTCTTTACCTCATTCTATTTTACTCCTCACTACAACTACACAGTCTTCCACTGCCCTCCCCAACTTAGTCCGATTCCCTCCTGTATTATGCTGCCAAAGCATAGACTTTCCCTCCATAGCACTGAATCCTGTGGCAACTTTGCATCCATTTAAGTGACATATGATGAATGTGAGTGTCTCCCTCTCCCACTAGAACATAAGCTCCACAGGAACAGGGGTTGGGTCTGGTGACCAATACCTAGTTGTTAAATGCATAAAAGCACACAATTCTTATAAGATATCAGGGGCTGTGTGGTGTAGGAGACAGAACACAGCTTTAAGAGCCAAGCAGACCTGGGTTTAAATCTCAGCTCTGACACTTTGTGACCTTGAGAAAGTTGTCAAATCTCACCTAAGGTCAGATTCTTCATCTTGAATGAATGAATGAATTTTATTTTATTTTCAATTGTAGTTTCTTCATTCATAAACACAATGCAATACCTACTGCATAGGGATACACATAATCTATGTGTAGTATTCGGTAGGAGCTCAATAAATGGTAGTAGTTACCGTGTGTATATCCAAGGATGTTTGCTGAATAAGTATTTAATTCACGTAACTTCATGTTTTGAAAGGTTCTTCATGATTATAAAATTTATTCCTGTTATTCTGAAATTACTTTGGATGTGTAGTCTCATATTTTAAAAATCTGCTGGCTCATTCCGACTTTGCAGATGGCGAACCTAAGGTTCAAAGAAGTGAAATGACTATCCAAGTTAGGGATCAGGTCCAGGTCAGTGCTCAAGCTAATTAAAAAAAAAAACAGAATTAAGTGTCATATCTATCAAATGATATCATCTGGTGTTTAAACTGAGAGAATCTGTTAATTTCCTTTAGTTACAGATCTCGTGCCATTGAAAGGTGGGTTTGTGGTGTGGAAAGTGTGGTGGATAAACCTGAAATCTGAAGATGTAGGTTCTGGTCCTGTTCACACTCCAGATCCTCACAAGAAAAGGCAAGAGTAATCATGAAATATCGTGATTTCATTTCACTTCATTCAATAGAATGACTATTCTTCAGGGATACCCTAAACTCTTGAAGGACAGGTATGCTGCCATTTTCCTCTGCATTGCCCGCAGCACCTACCACAGTGGTTTGAAATTAGGGGAAGACTCAATAAAAGTGTGTTGAAGGAATGAACGCTTTTCTGAGTGAATGAAAGAATGCCTATGATTTATTTTCTCCCCATCCAGCTCCCCCTTTGTGTGGGTGGCTGGGGAAGGGATAACTGTCACTCAAAACTGGCCCGAGGGCAGGAAAACAGGTTTGTCGTGGAAGGAAATTGAAGATGCTGCGTTTCTATTGGAGATTGACTCTCAATTTCCTATTAGACGGTGAGCTTCCTGAATGGAGAGTAGGAGCCTGTCTTACTCATTTTTGTTTTCCCTGCTCAGCTCAGAGGCTTGGTCCCAGCTCTAGAGAAAGTGCAGGCATACACAGGGAGGGGGAGATCTGAAGGAGGAGCACCTCAGGTGTGGTTTGGGCCCCCAGAGTACATACAACTTTCCCCTCCCCAGACTGCTCTATAACCAAGTGGATTTGGGGGTGAACTGGAAATGGAATGGAGAGCAAAAAGCACATCCCCCTGATTTGAAGGAAAATATTCTTCCTAAAGTAGTGAAAAGGCAACTTCTCCAGGATACAATAAGGAACATTTTCATATTGTAAAGAACTTGAAAACCTGTTTATCATTCAATCCAGGAAAAAAAAATTCGAATCCTGTCAAACCTGGATCTGTTGTATGGACCTACTTAGAATTTTTTTTTCTTCTGCCTATTCCTTTCTTCTTTCTTTCTCTCAAATTTCTTTTGTTGTTGTTTCTGTTTGGTTTGTAAAGCAACCCTTTTCTAGACTGGAGCAGGAAACAGCTCACCAGGCTGGGAGGACTTGGTTTGTACTGAGAAGCAAAAGGGTTTTCAAAACTCAATTTTCTTTTTTCTTTTTAAGTACCACCCCTCCCCTTTCCCTTGGAAGAGAGGGTAGAAATAATTGATCCATCATCCAGTATCAGGCCCTGGAGATTTACATGCAAATTCCTCCTATCCTCCCCCCCCCCCCCCCCCCAAACTCCCTCCCAAATTTAAAATCCTAGGAGGGGAAAATAAGAAGGCCTTTCTAAACTAGCAGGAACCCTTCAGGCCACCACCACCCATCCCCAACCAGGTGAGAGATGGGGGGAGGGGTGGGTAATCCACCACAACCCCCCAGCCTCTCCCTCGCCACACACGCCACCTCTTTCCGGTGTGGAATCACTTAAGGTTTGGGTAAAGCTCCCCTCTCTCTCCCAGGAGACAGTATCTGGAAGCTTTTAGGGGGCGGAGGCAGAGGTGGGGAGAGGGGAGGAAAATGCCCCCAAACGGCCTAAGAGAGTCATCTCTTCACTCAAAACTGCCCGTCACCCCCCACCCCCCACCATTAACTTTCGATTAAGACCTCCTCGTTTTGGCAACTAAACTTTACTTTGCATAATTAAGATTTGCCTCGGAAGAAGGGGGAGGGAGAAGCCGCAGCTCTGGGCCATTCTCCTTCACCTCTCCCCCTTCCCCCTCCCCCGCCCCAACCCTCCAGCTCTGGGCCTCTAAGTTCCTGAGTTTTCTCACTTTGAGGTGCCACCGAACACAAAGAACCATAATGGGCTCCTTTGTGCTCGCTACGGGGCAATTACGCCCCAGAGTCCAGGCCCCTTTAAGAGTCTCTTAAAGAGACAGGCTCTCATTTTTCAGAGGGTTATTTAAGGGTGTGTTTAAGGGGGAGGGGCGAGGCAAACTCCTAGGGGTCTACGTACTGGGTGAGGTGAAACTTTTGTCTGGACTCCTTGAGAAGGAGCTGAAGGAAAGTCTTTGTGAGCCGCTCGTTTTTTAAGTCTTTCTCTCTCTTAAACATTTTCTTAAAGTTGAGGTTTTTCATTTGATTTGAAAAACTGGACTGGAAATGTGGGGTTCTAGGAGCAGGGGCGGAGGCAAGGATTTAAAGAGGCCCTACCCGGGAGAGCGCCTTAGCCCCCCAGAAGAAGAGTGATCCAGGGCCGAGTGGCTTGGGTCTGCCGCAGTTCTGGAGAATGTGTGTCTCCGGATCTCGCCGCCACGACTCCGGAGAAATCCCGTGCTGGGCAAACAGCCCTTAATATAATAATAGCTTGTCTCTTTAAAAAGCAAAAGGGGGGGGGAAAGTTTTGTTGGCATCTGGTTTCTGATCTCATTATGTTGTGGTCGACCAATCCAGCCCTCGGGGCTGGTCCTGGGGTTTAAATCTGATTGGCCGAGAGCACATTTTGGGATGGTGCTTAGAGCTCGACGGGGCGGTTTCAAGGATCCCTTTTTTGGGGGGCTGAGAGGAGGGCGGGGCCGCCGGCGGGGGCCCCCTTGAAACCGACTAATTGGGATCGGAGAGGCCGAGGTGAGGGCTGGAGGAACGCACAAAGGAGTCGCTGGGCGGAGAAGGGAGGGGAGAGGCGAGAGGAGGAGGAAGAAGAGGAGAGAGGGCAAGCGGCGCGCGGTGTCTCGGGCGGCTCAGTCGGACCGCGGCGAGCTAGCCGGCAGGCGCGCCGCCCCCCTCCCCCGCCCGGCCTCCCCAACTCTGCGGCCGCCAGCAAACTTTGCAAAGAGGCGCGGGAGGCGGCGGCAAGGCGGCGGCGGGGAAGGCGCGCGGTCTCGGGCCTGGGGGCGGGGGCGGGGGGGCGCCCGGGAGCCGAGTGGGGGGCGGCGGCCAGCATGCGGCCCCGCAGCGCCCTGCCCCGCCTGCTGCTGCCGCTGCTGCTGCTGCCCGCCGCCGGGCCGGCCCAGTTCCACGGGGAGAAGGGCATCTCCATCCCAGACCACGGCTTCTGCCAGCCCATCTCCATCCCGCTGTGTACGGACATCGCCTACAACCAGACCATCATGCCCAACCTTCTGGGCCACACGAACCAGGAGGACGCGGGCCTGGAGGTGCACCAGTTCTACCCGTTGGTGAAGGTGCAGTGCTCCCCCGAACTGCGCTTCTTCTTGTGCTCCATGTACGCACCCGTGTGCACCGTCCTGGAGCAGGCCATCCCGCCGTGCCGCTCCATCTGCGAGCGCGCGCGCCAGGGCTGCGAGGCGCTCATGAACAAGTTCGGCTTCCAGTGGCCCGAGCGCCTGCGCTGCGAGCACTTTCCGCGCCACGGCGCGGAGCAGATCTGCGTGGGCCAGAACCACTCGGAGGACGGCACGCCCGCGCTGCTCACCACCGCGCCTCCGCCGGGCCTGCAGCCGGGGGCCGGAGGCACCCCGGGCGGCCCGGGTGGCGGCGGCTCTCCCCCGCGCTACGCCACGCTGGAGCACCCGTTCCACTGCCCGCGCGTCCTCAAGGTGCCGTCCTATCTCAGCTACAAGTTCCTGGGCGAGCGCGACTGCGCGGCGCCCTGCGAGCCCGCGCGGCCCGACGGCTCCATGTTCTTCTCGCAGGAGGAGACGCGCTTCGCGCGCCTCTGGATCCTCACCTGGTCCGTGCTGTGCTGCGCCTCCACCTTCTTCACCGTCACTACGTACCTGGTAGACATGCAGCGCTTCCGCTACCCGGAGCGACCCATCATCTTTCTGTCCGGCTGCTACACTATGGTTTCGGTGGCCTACATCGCGGGCTTCGTGCTCCAGGAGCGCGTCGTGTGCAACGAGCGCTTTTCCGAGGACGGCTACCGCACGGTAGTGCAGGGCACCAAGAAGGAGGGCTGCACCATCCTCTTTATGATGCTCTACTTCTTCAGCATGGCCAGTTCCATCTGGTGGGTCATCCTGTCGCTCACTTGGTTCCTGGCGGCGGGCATGAAGTGGGGCCACGAGGCCATCGAGGCCAACTCGCAGTACTTCCACCTGGCCGCGTGGGCCGTGCCGGCCGTCAAGACCATCACGATCCTGGCCATGGGCCAGATTGACGGCGACCTGCTGAGCGGCGTGTGCTTCGTGGGCCTCAACAGCCTGGACCCGCTGCGGGGCTTCGTGCTGGCGCCGCTCTTCGTGTACTTGTTCATAGGCACGTCCTTCCTCCTGGCCGGTTTCGTGTCCCTCTTTCGCATCCGTACCATCATGAAGCACGACGGCACCAAGACGGAGAAGCTGGAGCGGCTGATGGTGCGCATCGGCGTCTTCTCGGTGCTCTACACCGTGCCCGCGACCATCGTCATCGCCTGCTACTTCTACGAGCAGGCCTTTCGAGAGCACTGGGAGCGCTCGTGGGTGAGCCAACACTGCAAGAGCCTGGCGATCCCGTGCCCGGCACACTATACGCCGCGCATGTCGCCCGACTTCACCGTCTACATGATCAAATACCTCATGACGCTCATCGTGGGCATCACGTCGGGCTTCTGGATCTGGTCCGGCAAGACGTTGCACTCGTGGAGAAAGTTCTACACCCGTCTCACCAACAGCCGGCACGGCGAGACCACCGTGTGAGGGGCTGCCCCAGCGCCGCGTCCCCGGGGCGGGCCCCAGCGCGGGGCTTGCCTCTGCGGGGGGGTGGGGGGAGGCCTCCTACAGACTCCTTATTTTATTTTTTTAAATAAAGAACAATCGAAACCATTTCTCTTTTAGGTTGCTTTTTAAAGAGAACTCTGTTCAACACCCCCATCAGGTTTGTAATTAAAACTGTAAATAGTCTTGTAAATTTAATTATATATTTTCTATTTAAACGAAAAACGGAAAAAAAAGGAGGGGGGAGCGGCAAGGGGCACCGGGTCTGAGGAATGAGGGGAGGGGGCGTTGAGGGGGGTCCTCTCCTTTCTAAAGTGCCCCTTTCAAACACCGCCGCCTACTTTGGTTCGAAGTTTTTGGTGTTTTGGCAGGGCTGGGCTTCCTGGAAGAGGTGTTTGCTGTGAGGAATTGGAAGTTGGTTACATTCAACTCCCAAAGCCAAATTTGTGAGCCTTCTCACTGACGCTGGGCCTGTGGAAGCTGTTGGGTGTTTTTGAACAAGACTTGGATTCTTCTTGTTTTATTCCCTTTCTCTCCCCACATGTCCTGTCTCCTTCACTCGATCTTTGGAGCACTCCCAAAAGAGATGAAGACGTGTGTGTGTGTGGGGGGGGGAACCTAACCCAGAAAGTGAGATGGGGTGCGGAATGGCCTACTCCCCACTGGCCTACCCTCCTGCAGGCTGGAAGATCTTTCTTCTCTTTGACTTTTCTTCTTTTCAGCTTGCTACCCCAAGCGCTTGGAGTGGGCAGAAAGTGCTTTGTAGTGTTTTGTGACTACCTTGAGTACCAATCCTGACTGTCTCCATTTTTATGGGGAGCGTTAGCTCGCAAATGTTGGGGTTTGGAGATGCCCGTGCGTCTCTCTCCTTCCCCTGTAGTTGGCTCCCTGCCGCTTCCCCCCCAACCCCCCAACCGAATATCTTCTCTGGCATTCAGATTAGAAGTTTGTAGGTTGGTTCGTGTGTTATGTGTAGGTTTTTGTTGTTGGGGTTTCCCCCCCCAAAAAAAGCAATAAAAATGGGTTGGGTTGGAGGGAGGGGACGGATGGGCTGGTGGGATTTTTAGTTTTCCTTTGACAAAAGACTGGTTTCTTTTCAAACTTGTCCAGAAAGAAAAAAAAAAAAAAGTGGGTATCCTTGCTTTGGAAGAAGGCTCTGGGCAGGCTCTTTGTGACTGTGTGTGGGGGGTGGGGTTGGGTGTTTACATGACATTCTATATCACAAGATTGATAGAATGTTTATAACAGATGTTTCTTATCTTCCCCTTAAGCTCCCCAAAATAAAAGGCAAGACTTTTCTTAAAGTGTCTTTAACGCTGGTATGAGAATTGCAGTTTCCAATACACATCATTGCCCTCAACTATTCGGAATATTTTAGAATTTTAATTCCAAAGGATTGATTTGAAGACCGAGGGGTAGAGTGGAACCAGTGTCACACAGAACTCAGTTTTTCACCGTCTCCTGTTTCTTGATAATAGTGCAAATTAAAAGCTAATAATCATAATAAAGTGCATTTAATTATCTTCTAGAGATCTAGCCCTTTAATTGTATTTAACAGGGTTGTAACATTTTATTAGTTTAACCAAACCACACCCCCTCTTTCCCTCTCCCCCACCTACTTGGTTGGGGGTGGGGTGGAGAGGAGGTTCCCTGCCCCAGACCTTGCTTTTTTTTTAGCTAAAAGATGGGGGAAATGGTGCCTTATCACCCCTTGTTGGCAGTCTTTGGGACAAGGGAGAAAGTAAGTTAGAACCCCTACTTCAATGTGTTTGTGTGTGTTAGTTTATGTTGGGGGAGGGGACCTGGAAATGTTTGGTGGTAATTGAAGTCTTATGTGGGGCTTTGTTTGGAATTGTATGAAGCCCGGGGATTTCAACAGAGCCCCCTTCCCAAAATATATAATCTTCCCCCAAATGATTTGTGCGGGTGGTCAACATAAGTTAAAACTAGCTTTTTCTCAAATGATGTGTGTGAAGTCCCACCATGAGATAATAACAACTATCAAAGAAGCAGGCAGGGGAGTCACTCCCCTGTAGCTCCATTTGTTGCAAAATTCTAAAGGAACCCCACAAGGGCTGGAGGAAAGAGTTAAATTACAAACTGAGCGCCTCTGGGGAAAGAATGGTGAAAGTCTGAGAAGGGCGGGGGTTCCAGTGGTGGGGATGGAGGCTGGTGGGAAGAGGAGAGCTCGCTGGTCTCTGTTGAAGATTTGAGGAAGACCCGCCCTGCACCCCTCCTCCTGCCTCTAAGCCCCCGGGGAGCCCATCTTCGCCTGCTTTGGGTACATTTGTCAGTGGACCCTCACGCTGATAGCAGGAGCACATGGTAGACTAACAACAATGATCTTTCCTTTCCTTCCCTGAGTGGGGGTGAGAGGGAGGGAATTTTAGTAAAGATTATTCTTCCTTCTTAACCCCGCTCCCTGAAATTCGCCTGCCAATGGAGGGGAAGAGAGCCCAAGAAAACGGAAAAAATAGGTTTTATGGTGGTGGGGGGGGGAAGAAGATAAATGATAATTGCCTCTTTTGGAAAGGACAGTTCTAGATGCCCTCCCCTTCCCCAATGGGGGGCCCAAGGGCTAATTACCTTATAGAAAGTAGTGGGGGACCTCCTGCCTGCCTGTTCTCACTGCTTTAATGAACCAGCTCTCAAGAGGCAGGGAAGTGTTAGCCCAAAGTGCAGGGAATTTAGGAAAGACCATGCCTGGAGCAGAGACCCAGAGGCAAACTACCTGAGCTCTGTCACACCTGCAGAGGGTTCTCCACTCCCTTGTTTGGAAAACCCAGTTAAACACCTGGGCTTGGAGGTCTGCTTTTGCAGATTTCTGGGTCACCTTATGGGCAGTCTTCCCTCTGGAAGAGTGAGGCTTTGGTGGAGGGTCAAGGGCCCAAAGGTAAGGTCTTTCACCTGAGGCCAGTCTCCAACACAGCTGCTTTCTACCTGTTCTCCCATCCCCCCCCATACCACAAAGGAGCAGCTGGTTCTCTAGGTTCTGGGCGCCGGTCATTTTTTCCTCCAGACTCCTCCCTCCTCCCTTGATCAGACTTTGGCTTTTCCACCCCCCTCCCAACTCCCCTCCTGAAAATGGTTCCATTAGTTACAGACTCTTTAAGAACCAGAAGAGGACACTCAAGTTTTCCACGACAAAATTCTTCTGAACGTCCCCCAAAGAGTGAGGATCACTAGGCTCTGGAGATGGTGACTTCTGTGTTCTAAGGTGTTGAGCCCTAGACCTGGGCTGGATTCTGGAAGTGGAGAGAGGCTGTCCCAGGGTGCCGTGGGGCTCATGTCTGGGGAAGCCGAGCCCAGATTCTGCCACATCTGAGGCATCGTGCCTTTGATCATCTACCTGCTCACTGTAGCACAGTCCCTTCCTTCCCTAGACTCACCCTCCTTTCCTCAAGATGGATTTTAAACTGGGGCCACTGACCCATCTGAGAACCTGAAAAATCTTTGGAGCTTGTCCTGGGAGAAAATGGCCAGACTCTCCTGAGCACACAGTTTTGCATGTAACTTTCAGGGGGTTGATGAATTCTTTATCTGTGCCCACTGCCCCATCCCCAAGCTAGCTCTCCAGTTCCTGGTTTAGACATTTCCTAGTCCTGATGAGTGGGTATCTCTCCACCTCTCCAGTGGGCTTCCTTTACTTTCCTGGGGGGACTCCAGTGCTCTCCCAAGTGTCTCATCCCTTCTGCTATGGAAAGGGGGTTCAGGAGGGAAAACCGTCCAATCTATAAAACCAGGAACACTCTCCAAACCAGATTATTCCCGCAACCCTGCCTCTCTGGAAGGTAACAAATTATCGAGTGCAGCAGCGTGGAATGAGTAATATTTTTGTAGTAGAGGGGAAAAAAACAGGCAAAAGACAGACACACATAGGCAGATCATGGGAGCGAGTGCAGGCTTGGGCACGAGATTGCACCGGCTCTGAGCCCTGTGGAAATCGCCTAGCCTCTGAGTCCCTGTCCTCATCAGTAAAAACGCAGCAGTACCTGCCCCCACAAGCTTGCGTGAGGATTAGTTGGGAGGGTGCGGGTACAGAGCCAGCACATAAAAGTTCAATCAATTGTAGCCCTCTTCCCATTCCTTAGGTTAATTCCTAAAAGCATCACCGCATCAAAGGAGGTACATTTCTTCGGGGCTTTTTACCCTATTGTTGCTGGTAGTTTTAACAAAACAGAGTGATTTCCTGTGCTCCCGGGTTTTGCACCTGACTCTGGGTGCTAGCTCACAGTCCAGGGCTCTTGGGGGTGGTTGGGCCGTGTTTTTCTCTCAGTCTCTCCTCTGATTAGGACAGAAATGTCTTACCCGCCTGAGTGAGCAGGGCACACACGCGGGCAGGCTCTCTCTCCAGCCGGCTTTGAAGCCCGCTAATTAGGGCTAGGGCTGTCACAGCTGGCTTCCCCAGCGCCTCCCCCCAGCCCTCCCTCCGGCTCGGCCCCAGCGCCAGCGCCAGCCCCAGCCCCAGCCCCATGGCCTGAGAGCCCCTCCCGGGCTGCCTTGCCTTCCAGGGCAGGCAGCCTCTGCCTGCCTCGTGGCCCTTCCAAACCGTCTGGGCAGGGCTGGGGTTTGATGCCTGGAGAAAGGACAAGACGGGACTTGGGACGTGAAATAAGCCCGGAAAGTACTGATTGGGTTCAGAGAGGACTGCCTATGGCCCAGGACCCTCCTTATTCCTAATGAAGCCTGGAGAGGAGCCGGCCCGGCTGAGGGCTGAGCCCTTTGTGTGAGAGCCAAGCTTTCTGAAGGCTCCAGCCTCCCAACCTGGCCCTTATAATTAGCCCCAATCAGAGTGTTTATGTAGGGGCCTCCTGCGGAACTGAGAGCCCCGAGATTTCATTCCAAGCCTGGAGGAGGAGGGGCAGGAAAGGGATTTGTGTGGGGACCGGCAAAAAGGAGGATGGGGTAGGAAGCGTGGAGAAGAAAGCCTGGGGAGGAGGGGAGGGGAGGAGGCCCTGGAGCTGGGAGGACAACCACCCTCCCCATTTGGC